GCTCTTTAAATTAAGTGCAAAGGTCATGCTTTTTTCAATTAGAGAGCCAAGAATAAGGAACATACAATTTATCTGATCAATCTCAATTAACTGATGCAACTCAGATTGTAAATATCAAAAACTGAATGCCTGTTGATAAATGTTTGTGACAATTTCATAAACATGAAAAAAAATACTGATTTACAAAGACATCTAAGGAAATCATCGTCGGCTGGGATGCATTCCAGTGCTTATTTCAATTACTTAACTTAGTGGCCTGAAAGTATTTGCTCAGCTCAAAGTAAAATAGTAGATTAGAACAAGAAATGAAACCAATCATTCAGTGGGGATAAAGACATATACAGAGGGCTTGCAGGATCAGGTCCTACATGATATAGGCAAAATGCTAGTATTTACCAGTACAAATATTTATTTAGTGTCTGACTGATTCATTTGTTTATATGATGAATTACTTTGTTAAAAAACTGATTATAAATGTTTATTATGAAATATTGCATTGTCTTTTGAAAGAACTATCCTGAGATAACTTGAGAACTTGTGTTAGTTTGTTTAAGGAATAATATGCCTTCAAAGGAGATCATATTAAAAGAAAAAAAAAAAGCACAAAAGTGTTAGAGTAATGTTATGGATGTATAGATTAACATGGGAATGTCTGTGCTAATCAACTGTTTGCTTTTGTCTAGTCTGAATCATAATCTTTATTGTAAAATGAAATTTCTATGTGTATGATGTCCCTTTGTAAATGCGTACCTAATGAATTCACAATAGAACATAATGACCAATTTTTCCAAAACCTCCTTACCGTGGGAACAGGTTCCATGGTTTCATTGCTGGGAAGTGGGTTGCAAACTGCTCGCACTTTGGCTTTTCAGACACTGCCTTTCTTAAAAAAAAAATCTCAGCAATCCCCACACAGAAACCTCAGAAATCTCCATGCCACCCCCATCCTGACATGTTTTCCCATTCACAGTACTTAACTTAGCAGAGCATTTGCATCTTTGCTGCCACCAGCTGCTTTTGGGAAGCAGAAGGGCCATTTTAATAAGGGTCTGGGAGGAGTGAAAGGAGGATGCCGAACTGAGGTTTCATTGGGTTGGGGTGGCAGGATATCTTGTGCAGATCCTGTATCTGCCTGTCACTGGGTGGAAAGGGAATCTGGTGCCACACCTCTTCCCTGTTTCCTCTCAAGGGGCATTGTGAAGGAAGGGGCAAAACCAGCAGTCCTTCCACTCAGTGGGGCTCGTGGTCCTGGACCACGCACTTGGAGTCCTACCATATCATGGGACCTGACGTGGGGAAAAAGGTGCCAAACAGTCTTCCCAAAAAGCAGTACAGAGAGAGGCACCTTCTGCACTCACCAAAGACCAGAAGGACATGCACAAAAGTGCCTTTTGGAGCCTTTGTACCAGTGTGTGCTTAACAGTGCCTCAAGACTCTTGCAAAAACTATAATCCTGGTAAAAGGGCTCATAGGAGTGTACTGCAGATCCTGAGGAACTGTGGAGACTTCCAAGGGGCATGAGTTAACAACCACTTTCTTTAAATAGAGCAAATAAGTAATTTAAACTTATTTTGGTTTCTTAAGAAATAATTCTAGTGATTAGTTAAGACATAGTTTGCCACACAAGATTTTGCTCCAAAGAACAACACTAGCTTTAAGATATAAACAAAACATGTGTGCAGTCTAGATCTGATTTTCCTGCAACTTGAAATAGGTTAAAATTTTTGGAAAAAAATGTGGACTAAGAATTGGTCCTCCACTGACTGGAGGAAAGTTTTGTGTTTCTGCTCTATTTTTAAAGGAGAATCAGATAAGAAGAAAACAAAAAATGTCTATAGTAGATACACACAAAAATCAGCCATCATGTGAGGGTTGTAGTGATGATTATGGTCCTAAACTGCAGCACAATGAGACATTTCACAAAAGTCTAACTACTTACAATAACTGAATGTCACCAAAGGTTATACTCTGTCATAAGTTTTAAGTAACATATAAAGTTAAATCAGTCCATTTTTAATTCTTTCATTTCTTAGAATAATTTTCTTTACATTTTCTTCTGTCAGCATTTATTCACTTGATTAATGAGGTGGCTTTTCATGACTCACTCTCTCCTTCCTACTTTTCTTTTCCTTGGGTCTTCCCATTTGCAATATATATTACTACAGTATTTGAAACTTTTTGAGCTAGCATGGTATTTGTGTTATGGTTTTATGATGTCACTGCCATATAAAACTGCTGAACTAGAGTATTTTGCTGAATGAGTTTCCAGTCCTGCTTCAGATTGTTTCCATTTGCCTGTCAGTGTAAGTTAAAAGTGTTCTGAGTATTATTACTTCATCCTTTCCTCTGGTCTCCTTCATACTGGAATCCCACCAAGGCAAAGAAATGCAAAAACTTTCCAATCCTTAAGTCTAGCAAAATGAACAGAATCTGGGTTTTTTTGTGATCTCTTTTTTGTTTGTTTGTTTGTTTGTTTGGCTTTTTTTTGCCTTCAAATCCTTAATCTAGAATTTCAGAAACATATTTGTCAGTTCTGTAATTTTAATAAAATAACAGTTATTAAGATGTAAGACAGCACATATATGGATTATATAACACAAACTGTAGTTTTACATCCTTATTTTCTAGGCATCTAATTATTCAATGTTCACCATTTATAGAAACTTTGAGGATAAATTAAAAGCATCCTTGCTGATTTAGTGCCTATTTAGCATTAGTGGAAAGCTTAACCATGTAGACAGAGATCAAAAGATGTACTATATACTGTAGGCTGCTGGGTTTTGTTTCTTTTGTAGTGCTGGTGGGAACATCTCCTCAGCTCTGCATAGGATGTCTGCAGTGTGGTCGTGTTCTTCACAAATCAGCCGTGTCTACCAGTGATTTTAAGTGACTGCAAAGCTATGGGCATAGCATCCAGCTTCATACAGCAGGCAAGACTTACTGGACTTACCCAAACGTGTGCAAGACTGATCCTCAAATTCAGAGGGACTCTGATGTGGCATAATCAGATGGTAGGTACCTAGGTCAAATACATCTGGGCACAACTTCTGGGCACACCCACTGAAGGCATGCCTTTAAAAAGGAGGCCCCAGCAATGCAATGGGCTCTGTGGAGATATTCCTAAAAGAGACGTATGCTAGCTAACGTAGGTGCCAAATACTTTTGCTTAGAGCAGGTAAATTGCCTTTAGGTGATTCCATCAAAAAAAGGATAGAAAGAATAAAATTAATGATGAAAAAAAAATGTTTGTGCTTGAGATCATGAACATTTTTATTATTGGTTATTTGGGAAGGCTTCATGACTTGCTCTTGCCCTTGCTTAGGGTAATATGGAGCAATAAACTGTGCTTAATTTAAACAATTGTCCATACACTGCTGACTAAAGAAAAGATAAATGCTTTGAAGATGGTTGTTGAACCATGAGTGACCAGAGAGAGAACTGCTGAGCATAGTTCAGCCTCAAAACCAAAACTCAGATCTGCTCCCAGGTAAGGACAATTCTCCTGTCTCG